ATTATTGAGAGTTGATATACTATATAAGGCCAAAAAACTCACCAAATAGCTATGTTCCATGGAACAGCCTGGAGGATACAGCATTGCCAAAGTAATAAGGAATACATGGGGAGAGGGACACCAGCATCACTAAGTGCCAGAATATCTCTCCTCTGTAGGTCAAGACTGGTGATAGAAAATGCCTGCCACTGAGCTGGGCTCACTGATATCAACGAGGATGTTAGGACTTTGCCCCAGAAAAATAGCCCAGGTGGCAGCCTGAAACCATCAGAAGCCCAAGAGCATAAGCCCAACAACAGGGACTCCTATTTACCAAGACTGATCCAGATACTGCCTCTGTCAAATATCCAACCTACCAGCAGCAACAACAATAACTGAGTCCCCAGTATGGCACCAAGTTTTGAGTAGACCAACCAACCTCTTGGTGGCATTGACTATATGGGACTTCTTCCACCTTAGAGGGTGAAGCAATTTGTTGTGGCCAAATAGATACCTGTTTCAGGTGTGAGTTTACCTTTTTTGCCTACTGGGCCTCAACCATCATCACTATTTAAAGGCTCACAGAGTGTCTGAGCAACAGGTATGAGATCTCAACACATTGGATCTAAAAAGGAGGCATGGGATTCTCACATGGCTATGGAACTCAGTGGTGATATTACATATCATACCACCCAGAAGCTACCAATCTGATACAATCGATGATGGAACGACCTGGTGAAAGCACAGCTGGAAGACAAGCTTAGGACTGATACCTACAGAATGGGGTCCAATCCTCCAGTATGCAATATACTTGAAACCTGCATCCTTATATGATGCTGTGTCCCCAACAGATAGAGTACCTGAGTTGAGAACCAAGAGGTGGAAGCAGGAATGGCCCTGCTTATCAGTGATCCACTTGGGGAAATATGCTTCTTGCTCCACAACCCTAGACTCTGTGGGTTTAGAAGTCCTGCTTTCCATAGAGAAAATGTGTCCCACAGGGAAACAGCAAGAGTCCCAGCTGCTGCCTGGGAACTTTGGTCCCCTTGTGCAAAGGAACCAACAGACACAAAAAGAGGCCTCACTATCTTGGCTATGAAATGGATTCTCATTATGAGGAGTAAGGAGAGTTGTTACCTGATGGAGACATAGAGGAATATATCTGGCATCCTGCTGGTCCACCTGGGTGCCTCTTGGTACTCCCCTGCCCTGTTTTGATAGTAAAAGGACAAGTGCAGCAGCTTGAGGAAGATATGAAAGCAGTTTTCAACCCCTCAGAGATGAAACCACCAGACAAGCTCCCGAGATCATCAGAGATGTGAACTTAGGGTGAAGGAATGGATAGTGGAGGAGGAAAATGATGAGTAGCAATCAGTTGCTGTCCTGAGAATAGCTGCCCCCCTAAAAAAACAAACCCACTGACATCAAGTTGATTCTAACTCATAGCAAACCCTATAGGACAGAGTAAAACTGCCCCATAGAGTTTCCAAGGCTGCAAATCTTTAGAGAGGCAGACTGCCTCATCTTTCTCCCATGGAGCAGCTAATGGGTTCCAACCACTGATCTTTTGGTTAACAGGCAAATGCTTTAACCACCGTGACACCAGATCTCCTTGAGATCAGCTGCAGTGAGTTGCAATTCTTCCCACTATCTGTCCTCTTCAAAATTTCCACCATGAACAGATGGGTGGACAGGCTGAACTAGTAGGTATGTCTATGACTAGTAGGTATGTTCTTGGGGAGTATACCCAAGAACATGTATAGGGTTGGCAGACAACAGTCCTATAAGTTTATGTGTATTATCTGAATTCCCAGGTGTATAGTATAGCTGACAAGAGGCAAGGTGGTAGTCACTAGTTGGTCACAGCCAGCTACCCAGAGGGACTGAGTAGTTGAACCTGTGGGCTCCGGACCACAGTCACAGGGGACATCAAGCTCATTTGGCATAACATACTACACAAAACATTGTTCCACCTCCTACTTTGGCAAGTAGCGACTGGGATCTTAAAAGCTTGCAAGCTGCCATCTAGATGCAACGATGGGTCTCTCCTCATCCGGAGCAGAGAAGAATGAAGAAAACCAAAAATTCTTGGCTACAAT